AAAAGATTTTCAAATTTTAAAGTTTCATTACCTCTGATTATAAGGAGCATTCAAAGATTTTGAGATTTTGTAAGACCTCCGAGCATGATTTCTAAGACCTCCGAGCATAAATTTGATTCCCGATGTTATCCCGATCAATTCTATGATTTTAACTTGTTATTCCAATTGATTCTGTAAGACCTCAGGGTATGATTTCTAAGACATCCGGGTATGATTCTGTAAGACCTTCGGGGATGATTTCTGAGACCTCCGGGCATAAATTTGATTCGCGGTGTTATCCCGATCAATTTTGTTATATTTGATTTTACCTTGTTATCATCATTCTGTATAAGACCCCTTTTTGCATGGTTATTTCTTGTACTTGTTTTCATCATTTGTAGCTTCGCATATGATTTCTAATTTGAACTCCGCGGTAATTTGATTCGCGTTGTTATTCGCTCAATTTTTTATCTTTTAACTAGTGGTGTTATTTTAATCGATTCTGTAAGATCTCCGGGCATGATTCTGTAAGATCTCCGGGCATGATTTCTAAGACCTCCGGGCATAAAATCGATTCGTGATGTTATCTCGATCGATTCTTTATTTTTCGACTTGCAGTGTCAAATTTGAAAAAGATGAAAATTTTAAAGTTGTGAAGCCTCTGCTGAGAGGAGCTTTTCCAAGATGAGATTTTTAAAGTTGTGGAGCCTCTGTTGAGAGGAGCTTTTCCAGATGAGATTTTAAAGTTGTTGAGCCTCTGCTGAGAGGAGCTTTTCCAAGATGAGATTTTTAAAGTTGTGGAGCCTCTGTTGAGAAGAGCTTTTTCTAGATGAGATTTTTAAAGTTGCGGAGCCTCTGCTAAGAGGAGCTTTTCTAAGATGAGATTTTTAAAGTTATGGAGCCTCTGTTGAGAGGAGCTTTTTCATATGAGATTTTAAAGTTGTTGAGCCTCTGTTGAGAGGAGCTTTTTCAAGAAAGAATTTTAAAGTTGTGAAGCCTCTGTTGAGAGGAGCTTTTTCAAGAAGAAATTTTTTTAAGTTTTTGAGCCTCTGCTAAGAGCAAGGGAGCTTTTCCAAGATGAGAATTTAAAGTTGTGGAGCCTCTGCTGAGAGGAGTTTTTTCAGATGAGATTTTCAGATGAGATTTTAAAGTTGTGGAGCCTCTGTTGAGAGGAGCCCTTTTAAAAAAAAATCACGATTTATTTTTGGATAAAATCGTTGTCTTTGTATTTGCCCTATTCCTGATTCTCAGTAATGTGCAAAAAGGGCAGCTGTAGACACCGATTTTCTCCGGGTCTATCATTTTTAATAAAAAATCATTAATAAAGTAAACAAAAAAAAAAGGTAAACAAACAAAAGAAACAAAATAAGACAGAAATCAAAAAGTTGAAACGGCGTCGCTGTCGCCTGCCTCCACCACCACTAGTTGTCAATGGCCGATCGACCGCCAATCACGGACGGTAGGTACAATTTTTTTGTTAAAAAATGAGATTCGAATCCCAAAAGATCTGGGATTTGAATCCCAACAAGCTCTATAAATAGAGCTTCTTATTTGCAAATCGGGGGGGAACAAAAAAAAAAAAGAGGGGGAAGAAACTGAAAAAGAACAACAAAAAAAAAAGAGAGCTTCTGTAAAAAAAATTCTACAAAAACACAAAAAAAAAAACAATAGTCCCCTAGAACGGGGAACCCAGCGCCAGAAAGCCACCTAAAAAAAAAGAGAGATCAGTCAATTCTGTCCACCAAAAAAAAAAGAGAGAGAGAAAGGAGACCGAAATTTTGAGCCTCGATCTAAGTCGATCGGGGCTGTTTTTGGTGAAAAAGAGATCGGATCCGGGAAGATCGCGTCGAAAAGAACCACCAGAAGGATTTTGGTAATTTTTCGATCACTGGCGACCATGATGGCAGTGCGTTTCTTCCGATGACCTGGACGGCAAACATTGACGGAACTTTCCCCCGAAGCTCTTTCTTCACCTCTCCTTTTTTTTTCTGAAACAGAAAGCCAATATGAACTAAAAAAAATCTTCAGCTATATATAGCATTAGGCAAAAAACTCAAAACGACGTCGTTTAGGGAAAGACCCAAACGCGCGTCAGACTATAGGAGGATCGATCCGCATTGACCCGATCTGAACCCGGGATCGCGAACCAGCGGTTAAACCCTTTTCCAACATCGTTGCTGACCATGTCTTTATAATTGAAACGATTTTATGATGGTATTGAACCGTCAGACCGAGCTGAACGAGGACGAAAACTGACGAACACGTTAAAATTGGCGGTCCGGTTAGGTAAAAAAATTTTTTATTATTTTTATATTTATTTTATTTAATTATTTATTATGTTAAAATTTTATATTTGTTAGATTAAATGATGAAATTATGATTAAATTTTTTATATAATTATGTTAATATACTTTAAAAACAATTATATAAAAATAAGTTTAATAATAATACTAAAGTAATAAAAAATGAAAGAAAATAAAATTTTTATCCGACGATGAGATTCAAAGGTATTCCGAGTAGTGATGTCTGCGAAATCTCTAGGTGAGAAGATTTTTTAAAATACTACCAGCGTATTGGAATATTTATAAAAAATTTTCAATACAGTAAAAATTTCTTTTTTAATAATAAATAAAAATTGGTTAATAAATTAAAAATATAAGTAATAAAAATATGAAGAAAAGAAATTTAATCCAATAATGAGATTCTAAAAGTATTCCGAGTAGAGATACTTTAAAAAATCTCTAGGTAAGAAGATTTTTGTAAAATATTACCAGCGTATTGAAATATTTATAGAAAATCTCCAATATAATTAAATTCTTTTTTTTCTTCAAAATTTTTAATTAAAATTAAAAAAATTAATAAAATAATTAATAAAATTTTTTGAATGAGAATAAAATGTGTGCATAAACATGAAAATATTTTGCATGGCATGCATGACATAATTTCTTACGAAAAGTAAATTTAGACCTCCTAGGATGAGATTCTAAGGTATTCCGAGAAGCGATGCCTAAGAAATCTTTAGGTGAAAAAAAGTTCTTCTAATGTTACCAACGTACTGAAACATTTTAAGAATTATTTCAATAAAAAAGTTTTAATTTATTTCTCTCGAGAATAATTTTTTTTTTAACATGACATTTCCTTATGAAAAATAAATTCAAGGCTCCAAAGATGAGATTCTAAAAGTATTCCGAGTAGAGATGCTTTAAGAAATCTCTAGGTGAGAAAAAGTTCTTTTAATGTTACCAACGTACTGGAATATTTTAAAAATTATTTCAATAAAAAAGTTTTAATTTATTTTTCTCGAGAATAAATTTTTTTAATAAATAAAAAATCAAGAAAATTATTTTTCGAACACCGAAAATTGGATTATTTTTATCAAAATCAAAAAGATAACACGTTGTTAATTGGTACCGTTTTTAATAGGCGCTGTGGGGGTGCTAATCCTTCCCCATACGTAACCGACTCACGAACCCAAACTGTTACGTAGACCCTAAAATTATCTTTTTAATAAATTTTAATTAATTTTAAGATTTCATTAAAAAGATATGTTTTAATAGGTGACCAATCGCACCTAACCAAAAAAATTGATGGTGATTCCGTTATTTTTTTATTTTGTTTTCATATTCGTCTGGCGGACATAAAACCGTTACGACAACCATTAGAATTGAAGCTATTAAAAACGTTTTTTTTTTTTTTGGTAGTTTACACTGAAAACACTTACCAAATGCGGAGTAGTATTGAAGGAAAGTCTCGTAATGTTGATGAAAATACAAAACCAACGTGGAAGAGATTCTGGGGGATGAATGTTCCTAACAAAATCAAAGTTCTAATTTGGAGACTCTATCACAGTGCATAAAACTAGTTTCAGATGCGAGGACAAGGAAGAAACGAAAGACCATTCAATCCGAAACTGTATTCATGTTAGGGGAATATGGCAACAAATCGGTTTTCAATGGAGCCATGTCAGTAACGAAATTATGAAGTCATACCAATGACATAAAGGCTGATGCTGAATAACAAGAATTTGGATAAACAGCATTTGCAAATATTAATGGTAGCTATATATTCTATGGAATGGAAGGAATGGTAAGCTTCATGGAGAGGATAGGAGAAAGGTTCAAAATGCTGCAAGTTTCATTAAGAAGTATCAGGCAGAATACATTCAAGCTCATATAAGGAAAGAACAACAAGCCACTCAAAACGCCCAAAAGTGGACACCTCCTACGAATGATGCCTACAAAATCAAGTTTGATGGGGCTGTGGACCGCAATAATAGTGTAGAAGGTGGAGGCATAGTGATTAGGAACCATGAGAGAGCAATCATTGGAGCTGGAGCCTTCATGTTGACAATATGAATGTGATACATTTGAGATGGAAGCGAGAGCAGCTTGTAAAGCACTGGAGCTGAATCCAATTTCCTCTTGCCTAATATGAAGTAGCTGAATTTTTTTATCTCATTTATAGCCTACAAGGAGTCACTCTCTACTACTCGATCAGTCCTGGCTCCTTCGCGATTGGTGACAAAGGCATACTAAAATCTATGTATATAAAGACAAACAAAATCTGTAAAAGCGTCGTCCATAGGTTTAAACATAAGAAATTAGCTCAAATTAAACATATAAAATTAAAAATATTTCATACAAAAAATCTAGAAAATTGAAAGATCTAATTCAAGTTAAATTAGAAAAATAACAACCCAATATAGCAAAACCATCCCAAAATAGTTAAGAATTTTTAAAAGTTAAAAAAAGAATTAATATCATGAATGATTTCAAAACTATAATAAAATGTTAAATGTAATACTTGAATTTTAAAAATTTTTCATATGGTACTTGAATTATAAATTTATTAATTAATATGATATTTCAAATATTATTTACTCATTACATGTCATTATTTTAAAGCTAATCATGTTAAAAATATTATATTAATTAAAAAATTCATAATTTATGTACTACATTATAAACTTTTAAAATCCAAGTATTACAATAAATATTTTATTGTAATTTAAAAATCATTCATGACACTAACCCTTTAAAAAATAGCCAACCATTTATCCATAGTTAAATAAGCATCATTGGAAGCAAAAGAATCATCCAAAGTAACCAAATCAAACAATACCAAAATAGTATAGAATAGAACGCTATAACCTGTAAAGAAGTAATCAACAATTTATCTATCATTCACGTCAACACCGTTGGAAGTAAGAGAATCATCCGAAGTAGCCATATCAACAACCCCTTTTTTTCTGAAAAGCAAAAAGCGAGTAAGCAAACGCAAAAGATTAAAGAAAATAAATTATATGAACCAAAGAGAAGTACATTAACCTCTTCTTCGCGACCCTTTGCTCAACCACGTCTACATCAAGTAACTGAGGATCAGCCATTTCCTTAGAAGTATACTTTATCTCAAAACCTTCCCCTTTGCCAGCATGCTTAATAGTTGAACCATCAATCAATGAATTAGAAACACTTGCTTCCTATAAAGAAAATGTTTCCACGGTCAAACACCTACACAACTGTCATCTAAAAAGTTGTATAAATAAATATATAAATATATATATATATATATATATACACACTTACAATCTTTTTCAAGTTAGTAGATGCAATTGTAATCCCACTCATTCCACTAACAACAAAATGCTTAAGATCACCATAATTTTTTTGACAACCAGCTCTTAATTCAAAATCAAAGCTTGATCCAATGAGGTTGCTTAACACAGGGGGTAAGACATAATCATCAGTGTTTTCCTTCAAAAAATGAACATCAACAATGATTGAGTAAATGAAGTAATAAAAAAGTACATGAAATTTAATAGACAAAAAAATGAAACATGTTTTACATTTGATTGAGAAGAAACCAATTCACCGGCGGTGACTTTCAAAAAGTTAGAAACAACATCATCAAACAAGAGAAAGGTTGCAGACCCATTCAAATCTTCCACATCAACGTAAACACGAAATCTAGAAATCATGTCAAGAACAATCAATAAAGACAATAGCAAAAATTATTTTTTTTTAATGTACTTACAAAGAGTACACATATAAATATATAAAATATTACCTTGGTTGAGGACATTGAACAAGTTTGTTGCAATTAGGACATAACATAGAGCTTTCCGTAGGAACAACCCTCTTCCTACATATACCACCACAAGATGCATACCACCATCCATAACCAGTTCGTATGTCAACAACAGTAGCTGTAACCAAATAGGACTCACCCTAAAAAGAAACATAAAACAATAACGATAATTGAAAATAAAAAGACCTATATTCACACCAGAAATTAAACCTAAATAATAAAAAATTACATATAGAACAAAAACAACCTTGTTGATAGCTGATTGATAAAGCTGTTTCATCTCGGCAATTGTTTTTTTAAACTTGGAAGAATTAGATCCACTCGACAACCTATGCCTGTTATAAAAATCCTTAATTATTGCAATCATGCTAAAAAATCATTTTAAAAAGTAAATGATTAAACACTACAACTACTTTGAGAAAACAAATAATAAATCAAAATCAAATAAAAAACTCACACTAAACTTGACTTGAATTGAATTATTTCTGAAATTGTCTCGTCTATGTAAATTTTAGTTGATTTTGAGGTAGAAAGTGAGATCTCACCTACAATAGAAAAAAAATAAACACACTACACAATAAGATGCAAATTGATTACACATTGATTAACCTCGAGAATGACTAATGATCAAAGAAATAATTATAACAACTTGAGATTAGTTTTCTAATGTTTTACACATTCACTAACCTTGAAAACTCTTCGCTTTTAAAGAAGTAAGTATAACAACTCGAGGTTCGTTTCTCAAAGTTAAGCACTTCTCTTCAAATTCAGAAACAAACTTGTCCCACAAACTAACAATTATTAACCTATCACTTAAGAGAAAAAGAAAAAAAAAAGCTTGAATGATACTTAATTCCAATATTTATAAAAAGTTCATTTCTTTACCAAATCATCCTTTGTATAACACTGTCAATCTAGAAAATAAAAAAATAATACCTTAAATCTTGAAGGTATAACTTCATACAATTTAAGGATTTGTCACCGACGACAACTGGACGTCGAGAGCCAACAACAACACCAATAATATCTAATTAAAAAAATATAGCATAAAAAATATTTTTAGTTTAAATAAAAGCACAAAAACACAAAATCCATACTAAATTATCAAAATGAAAAATCAACATAATAACCTGCTAAGCACTTTGTTGAACGTCCGTCAAATTGATCATAAGCCACAAACTCAAAAATATGTCGTGGGATATTTACTCTTTCATCAAATATCTCTTTGATGATGGTATTAGCTTGAAAATAAATCATTCGTAGAAATTACTCGATAATTATTTTTACCTTTTACAATAGAAATTTTTTTAATATAATATAAACCTCCTTCATGAATCATATCCTTCAATTGATATGCATTACAACTCCCAAGAACAGCATGAATACAAAATTCCTATGAAAGTACAAAAAAAAATAAAATGAATAAAAAGCAAAATAACAACAAAAATTGAACAAAATAATTAAAAAATAAACATATTACGTACCTTTTCATCAACCAATATCATTTCTGTGCTTACAAGTTGTTTAGTTTCAGAAAAAATATCCCACAATCGACAAACGCGAACCTTGATTCTCCAATTATCTCTTTCAATAGACAATTTATCAATCGTAACATACTCCAATTGACTAATAGACAAATTTAAAATAAAAAAATCATAAACAATGGTAAAAGTAAGAAAAATATAAAAATAAAAATACTAAAAAACATATCTCATGATTAGTAATATGGCAAACAAAAAATAAGAAAAAAAATAAAAACATTAAATGCACTTATATAACCTTTCCACCACCCAAAAAAGATAAATAATCATAAAGCATAAGAAAATCAAAAGTTAATAATATAAATGTTAAACAATGAAGGGTTTATAAAAATTTTTACAAATAACAATTTAAATGATTATAAATACAAAAAAAAAATTAAAAGTAAAAAATCTATATAAATGTTAGTCAACCAAAAGTATATTGTATTTTGTGTAATAAAACTAAATGGCTTAGGTTTAGAATTTATGTAAAACAAACTTGATATTTATTACAAAATATTTAAGTTATATATATATATATATATGCTTTTCCTACCACAAGTGACCTTATTTTCTTATTAATTAAACTTTAACTTCGATTAATCATTATTAAGTGATTATATACAACTCTTATCACTTTAATTTTGATTATAGCCTCATTCAAATCATAGAAATGGGAGGATAAAGGATATATGGGAAGGAGAGAGTAACGCTTTTTTTTTCTTTTGACTTTGTAAGGATAAAAAGCTAAAAAAAAAATGAAAGGAGCAAAAGGGTGTAACCTAGGGCAAAATAACCAAAAGATCCATCTAATAATTAACCACAATTCAATAATAATAATAATACAACAACAAACCAAGCTTTATATCCTATACTCAAGTCAGCTATATGAAAATAAAAAAAGAAATCATGTTAAGTTGTAATTGTTAATCTTCTTACACCATTCATTTCTATCAACAATAACTTTTTCATTTACTTCCTTGATCATTGTATTATTTTTTGTTACTTGCATCTATGCATTTCATAGTCTACTTTTAAAATTCAATAATAATAATAATAATAACAATAACAACAACAACAATAATATATACACACATACATGCATAAATGAATATATATGTGTTTATACATATGTTTTTTTACCTTTTATTATCGATAATCATGCCTTCAATCACTTGTATAGCCTTAAAATCAAACGCAAAATGTAAGAAAACATAAGTGGATCATGTAAATTGTAATTAGATGAATGAAAATGTAATACTAAAGACTTTCTTGTGTTAGAATTAAGTGGTCACACTAATTCTAAATAAAGCATAAAGCTTAATTTACACTAAACGTGAACTTAAGTTCTCTTACTTTTATTCAGCGCAATCATCCCACCAACAATTATTTGCTTTGTTTAAGGAAAAACCATTGCATAATATTCCATATTTTAGAAAATTTTGTAATTGTTCTATCTAATCCGCTTATATTTATAATCTATACCTATTATATATATCTATATAAAAGCATGGATGTTGATAAATTTTTATTGACGAAAATGAACAGATTTGTTCATTATATTTTTAAATTATCATTTTAAATATTTTATTATAAATATTTATAAAATTTATTCAAATGGTAAATAAGAATTCTAATCACATCAAATGCATTTTATTAAAAATATTGTTATTAAAATTATAATATCATCAAAAGACTTTTATGGAAAAACGTTTTTCTGAATTCAAATAGTATTAAATAAATTTAAATCAATACTACAAAATTTTAGTTATTTATACTTCAAAATTTGTACTTTAAACATTTTTATTTGCATATAATTGTTATTACTTAAAATAAATAAAAAATAAATATTCATATGTAATAGCCATGAGGAGAAATACTATAGTATCTATAAAGTTATTTATGTGAATAAATGTTTTTATTGACGAAAATGATATGTTTATTCATTATATTTTTAAATTGTTTTTTTATTATAATTTTAAGTATAATTATAAATTAATTGTAAAAAGATTTACCTCATCTATAGATAACAAGTCCAATTCCCTTTGAATCACTTTTATTGATTAGAAAATTATTTACTTGGCTTAGAATTTTTTGTTCATTATATTTCCAAAATTGTAACCATATTAAGTTAAAAAATAAAAAATAATTTTATAATGAAAATAAAATTTAATTACAATCATAAAAATCATTTGTTTATAGTTATTATTAACTTATTATCAAATGCAAATATATATAATATCCACCATCCAATAAAATTTATCAATCTAATAATAAAAAATAAAAGAAAATTAAAAAGTAATGAACATGTAAAAAAATAACAAATAATAATATATGGGTTTTCAGAAAAATTAAAAAAAAAAAGAGAAAAATAAGTGGTTGATTGCACAAAACAATAGTATAATGACTTAAATGCGCATCTTAAAATAATTCAATGGTTAATTTGTGTGTTATCCCACTTAAATTTATTTGGCTCGTATCCTAATTAATTCATTGAATTTACAATTAATGTCATAAGAGTAACTTACCTAGTTAATTTATCTCAGTGGAGAGTTTACCAACTTGAATAGAGACTAGAAATTATAAAGAAAATAACTGTATATAACAGATATATTGTACATATATTTATGCAGTGACTTACAGCGTTTAATCGATGATGTTTTGCAGATCCAACGGGAGATTTTTGGTGAACAATTTTTCTTCCCATCTCTTGTAGCAATTGATGCATCGACAATTTGTCTCCAATATTCCGGAAAAAGTTACAACCGACCAGAATTTTTGTTACCAAATCTTTGTCCTCCCCTTTGAAGAAGCAAGCAATATTTAAAAATATGTTCATCTCCGTTTCTTCTATTCCATCAAAGCTTATTTGAAGTCTGTCAAGAATTTCTTTCTTATAATCATTTTCAAGTCTTTCTATTACACCTGTCCATTGAGAAGCATCTCTCCCAGCAAGAAAAGAACCAAAGACTTCAAGAGCTAATGGAAGGCCATCTGCATATTCTATAACACGTTTTGAAAGCTCGACCAAATCCTTTTCAGGTGTATCACTTTTGAAAGCTTTCAAACTGAAAAGTCGAAGTGCTTCATTGGCATTCAATGTCATTGGCTTATACACATCATCCACTCCATAGGTTTGCAGCAAATGCTCATCTCTTGTTGTTCTAATTATTCTGCTTCCTAAACCAAACCAAGCACGCTTTCCGACCAAACATTTTAAGTGTTGGATGTTATCCACATCATCAAGAACAATAAGAACCTTCTTATGAGATAACCTACAACTTATCATGTCATTTCCTTCATCAACATCAAAAAAATTAAAACCTCCCTCCAACAAAATCTGACAAAGAAGCTGTTTTTGTAAACAAACAAGTCCATCTTTCTCAGCCACTTCCCGAACACCTGCTAGAAAGCTTCTACCTTCAAAATGACTTGAAATTTGGGTATAAACAAATCTTGCAAGTGTTGTTTTACCGATTCCTCCCAGACCACAAATCCCTATAATGCGAACACAATCATCTTCATCATCCCTTGCGTTTATTTTGCAAAGCAGTGTTTTCAAACGTGATTCAATTCCAGTCATGTCAGATTTAGGAGCACTTGAAAATGTTTGACGTAATTTTGTTGATATCTTTTTAACGATATCTCTAACAAGTTCTGATTCATGCCTACAATACAAAAAGTGAAGCAATTTAGTTACTAAGAGATAGCTTGATGAAAATAACTGCAGCTTCACATAAGAGAAGAAAGGAGTCTAATGCTGAATGCTGATCATTCTTTAAGTGAAAGAATAAGATGGATACCTGTTATTTAAGTGCCATCCCGTCATGTTAGCCTCTTCAGTTAAAACGGTTCGCCACCTTACTGCTTCCTCTTTAAATTTTTCTCCATGCTTAGCAAAAGCTTCTTCAACTTTCCCTTTCTGTCCTCGTAGCTCAGATGGATCCACATCATAGAAAATTGGGAATACTTTGTGTCCCCTCTCGTTTTTTTGTTTAATAATTTCGGAAAGCTCTTCCAGACACCATCTGGAAGAAGCATATGTTTCGAGAAAACGATTATTGAGGACCATGATTCTTGAATTGCTTTAAAGAGCTCTGGTGCGATGGCTTCACCTACCTCAAGGTTTTCATCATCTCTGAAAGTGACGATTCCCTCCCTTTTTAAAGCAGAACATAGATGGTCTGTGAAGTTCTTTCGTGTATCCTCACCTCTAAAACTCAAGAAAACGTCATATTTCCTTCCAGAAATAGAAGAAGATGATGAGAAGGATGAGGAAGATATCTCATTGTCGAGTCTAACCATTGGAGTTATGATTACGGTAGCCTTTCTCTACTGATCTCAAAGTAACAATGATTCAGATAGAGGATGGGTACGGTATAGACGCCGCTATTTCACGTTAAGCGGCACCACCAAAACCGTTTTCACTGCAAATAAGGTGGCGAGAGGCGATTGCACGCATATAGCAGAAGCTTCAGGGCCGCAATGCAAACAACAACAGACACTTGTAGCAGTTATTGAGATTCATGTTGCCTGTGTTATTGTATTTTTTTTTCAAATTAAAAGGACATCCATACGAAAGAAAGACAAAAACCATACCAAACCAAAAGAAAAATTAACATGAACAACTTTCATGCTTCAATTTACAGGTAAAAGAAGAATTAATTTAAGAGATTCACAACATATGTACTTAAAACTACCTTGTTTCATATTTTGGAAATTTTAAGTTGTAGTTGGTGTGGGCTGTGGAGTCAGTGCTCTTTCATAGCTTCCCTGACCCTATCAATTGCGAGCAGTGGTGTGGGTTCTTGCTTTCGTATATCTTGAGAGAGATGAGACGAGACCTGCAGTAAAAAATTAATTAAGCAGAGGCGTGGGTGTTGCGTGGGGGGGTTCACTAGGCTGAGTTGTGGGTTGGTCTACGAGGAATGAGAAATTGAAAGGGCTTCTTGGAAGTTTAATGGGGAAGAAAAGGGTATTGAGGCATGGGAGACTGGAGGGAGTGATCAGAGAGGAAACAGAGGAGCTTATATGAGAAAATATTTATTTTTTCAAATTTTGGGTTAATGAAGGATGAACCTCTGGCGTAATGGTAGCGTGTCTTACCCTAGTTCAAAAATCAAAAGGTTGCCTATTCGATTCCGTTATGGTTACTTTTTCAAAAAAGAAAATGTTAAAGTGCATGAACATCAAATGATATGTTCCTCCAATTCAAAAAAAAAAAAGTGAGAGGGAAAGGTTTGGAGGGATATGAATTTGAGAAAATTTTTCAATGGTTTAGATTGAAATTGAGAGGATATGGTAAATTATAAAATGATAAATTTATTTTTGCAAGTGTTTTTTCATCTATTAGTATTAGTTAAGGAATAATTAATTTTACATTAAAAGTTTGTACATTTTTATGTTTGATTAAAGTTAAGTTGATAATTATTAATTTAATTTGTTAATTAACAAAATAAAATTTTCATCCATTATTTTTTATAATTAAATTAGTTTATGAGTTTCATATGCATGAGAAAAGGAAAGCTTAATTTCATAATAGTCATGTTTTGAAAATTGATAAATATTTTGTTGACTATTTTTGGATCAATTTGAATATTATGTTTATATCACTTTTTTATTTTATAACGGTGGTTAATTACTGTTATATTAGTTTGATTAAAATAATATTCAAAGTGAAATATATAATGCGATGTATGAATTTTAATAATTTTTAATATGATATTTGAATTACGATTTTATTAATTAATACGATATTTAAAAAATTATTTATACGTTACGTATTATTATTTTAAATTAACTACATTATAAACAAGTATTATATTAATTAATTAATTTATAATTTAAATATTATATTAAATTTTTTAAAATTTTAATTATTATATTAAATATTTAATTTATAATTTAAATATTATATTAAATTAGCCAGCTGTGCAGTTGATAGATCAAAAACTTATCAAAAATTAACGTATGAGTTACCCATAAAGACCATCTAGCATAACCAAACTTGACCCTATGCAATGTGTTTAGAATGGGCAAATAAATCAAATGTTAAAAATAATTACAATCAAAAGAACCAAAGTAATACTCAAATTTCGCGCCTACCCTTAAAAGACTAAAATCATTCGTCAAAAATTAAGTTACAAACAAACATAATGATAAAAGTTTTTTCTTTTAAAAAGATAAAGATTGAGGGCTGTACGAATGCGTTGCTACCACAGGCAAGGAGAACCCTAAAAAAGTGACCCATTTTTTAATTAGAAAACGAAAATTTGTTTCAACAAATTAATCAAGCAAATTGAAAGAAGTTTTTTTCTTTTGCCACTTTTCTGGCTATTGAAATTACCCATATCAAAATAGAGGAAAATCTATCTATCACAAATTTTTTTTCTTTAGTTATCAGTTTAATATTGGCTAACATTTTCCTCCTTGAGTCAATTAATTATGAAAATTAAAAAATGGGTAGAATAATTAAGAAATAAATACCGTTTACATTTCATGTCAATTAAAAATTAAGGATGTATTTGATAAATCAATTTGTATGTCATATTTATTGAGTATTATTTTTTAAAAATAATTATATAAAATAATTAAATTAACCTTTGAATTCTTATCTTCTATGAAAATTGGGAATTGTTTAAGACTTGAGAGTCTTCAAATTCAAGCATGCGAAACTACATAATAAATAATGATATTAAAAATATTATGATATTAATAGAAATAATATTTCAAGAAAAGTAACTCTATTTTAAATACTAATGTAAATAATATTAAACATTATTATAACTACATAATAATTTTAATAAAAAATAATTTTAATATTTTAATAATAAATATTTTTGAATATTTTAATAGTTATGGTTATTGTAATATTAAAATATTTGAATGGAACCACTTTTTGTGTAGGCTAATAATGGTAATTGTAAGTTTATTATGTCTAAGAACGATATTAACTATTTTGTACTCATAAAACTATTTTTTTAGATAAAATCCTACAATCTATATTATTATGCATATAGTTCTTAACTTTTGTAAGACTATTTTTTGTGCCAAAATAATATATAAACTATTTTATTATAATCTAAGTTTATAGAATTTTATTATAATGATTTTATTGTGTTGTATTTTTAATTTTAAATTGCTATTTTATATTTATAATAATAATTATTATTATTATGGATAAATGTAAAAATATTATTTAAATAATTAAGTAAAAAACATTATTTTGATCGAAATACTGATTTAAAAAAAAAACCAAACGACAGAAAATTTTTTTCAAAAATATTATCCAAACAAAAAAAAATTTAGATTTCCAAAAATAAATCTATTTTTCAGAAAGCTATTTTCAATGAAATAAAAAGTGCATTAAATTTAAATATTAATACTTGTAATCTCTTCTTCTATTCTAGGCTATGATCTTTTGTAAAAAAAAAAAAAAAATCCAACAAAACATACTACTTATATAAAAAAGAAAATCAACCCTATATTAGTTATAAAAATTTAAAAACACAAATTTATATTGCTTTTTAACCATTAATTTCATTAAATTCAAAAGATACAGAGAGATAAATGAAAAAAAAAAATCTCCATCTTTTAAATCTATTAAAAGTTAAAAGTTCAAAAAAATAAATTTTTTTTGTATAAATTGGATCCCATACTCTATTATTATATATTATATACTATATATATTGTTGCTAAAGTAGATATGCCAGTAATATTACTTGGTTTATTACAAAGTAAATTTATATGTTTTCCAGATACCGACTCATTTGAGTTTGTCATTGAAAAAAACAATGTAAATTGAATTAAACAATTTTGCAAGGATGCATGTACCTACACGTGTACGAAAAATACCATATGTAGAGCTTATTAAGATTCCACGTACATTTTGATACATTATCTAGCAAGAAGATTTTTAAAAATAATAATAATAAAGGTGTTTTGAAATATCTCATTCAAGTAATAATTGATTTTTCATTCATTTCCTGTTAGAAACACAAACTTTTTTTTCTTTTTTTTTCTTTTTTGTGAAAGAAAGAAAGCACACCACATTTTTTTTACTATTGACAAAAAATAATTTAACTAATTATTGTTTTGAAAACTCCTCTAACTAAAGGCCATGAAACTTTGAAAAGAAGGCTTCTCTAACTAAAAGTTATAAGATTTTAAAGAAGGCTCTTCTAACTAGAGGTTATAAGACTTTAACAAAAGCTTTTCTGACCAAATGTTATCAAACTTGATATTTAAAATTTTATAGGTCTTATAGATTATGCCTATAAGCATAAATTTTGTCTGATTCTATTTTTAACTTAAATATAGTTTTGTTTATATTATTATTATTATTATTATTATTATTATTATTATTACTACTAATTAATTAATTAATTAATTGTAAAAAAAGAAAAAGTAAAAAAAAAATTTGTTTCAACTTTGGCAACTGAAATCAAGCTACCACAGCGATTTGTTTTTCTCCCCTAATACTGCTTAAATTGATAGCATGAAATCCAATAACTAAAAGTCACTACACAGGTCTTCAAAATTTTCACACAAGGATCCCAGGAGATATGGGATTTAAATCTCAAAAGATCTATAAATAGAGTTAATTTTTGCAAAACATGAGGAAAAAGAAAAATGAGGGAAATACTTTTAAAAAAAAAAGGAAAGCCAA